TCTACACTCTTTCACCTTCTCCATGATTTAGGATTCTCCTCCTCTCCCAGGACTCGCATTTCACTACAATGCCAAACCTCCATTTCGCTCTCACCCTTTCGCTTCTTCTACTTTCCAATGCCTCAGCTGCACCTTCCACTACTCTACCCGCCAGTGAGCACTGTGACCCATGTTCTGCTTTCGCTTCACTTTCGTTCATTCGACTCACAGTTTGCTCCTTTTTGCAGAGATCGTAACTGGGTTTCTCTCAAATGTCGTCCCCGCATTCACCAAATGGGTTTGGTCGCTCAAAGCACCCACCAAAACGGGTATCCAATGTTCTTGTATTTTTAGTATTTTTTTTTTCATTTTTTTTTTTGAATTTTGAGAGTTTTGGTTATGTGGGGTTGGAGTGGTGCAGCGATTGGTGCGAAGTCGATGATGAAGTTCGAGAGTGGCTACACTGTGGAGACCGTGTTTGATGGAAGCAAGCTTGGAATTGAGCCTCACGCGGTTGAGGTGTTGTCTAATGGGGAGCTTCTCATTCTGGATTCTGTGAATAGTAACATTTATAGGATTTCCTCATCGCTTTCTTTGTGTAAGTGTTTCCATTTGGTTGCATGGTGGATTAAGTTTGTGATCTCACTCATTTTTTATGTTGAATATGTTTGTTATTTAGTTTTGTGAAATCAGCTTGACTAGGTTGTTAGACTTTTTCATCTCTTCACTGTGTCACCATGGACTAAGGTTTTCTTGACATTGGACATGCTCTTACTTTGGAGATTATGAGCTACTCTACTTTGTGACGTTTTGCTTCCTAAATCACACCACAACATTCAGCTTAGTATTCCTTCTTGCATGAGTCAAATTGCAATGTTTTTTGTTTAGACCAGTCGTACTAGGAGTTTTTCTGTTCTTTTGTTTTTTTGTGTAGTATTGCTTCTTTTGTGTAGTTTTTCTGTTATTGATGGCAGCTGTTATTTCTAATTCTACATTCCCCTTGCTCAACTCCTTTTTGTATCGCGGAATCACAATGATTGAATCAATGCGTTGTTTGCTAATAAGCATGATAACATGTCACTCTAGTTTTTGCTTGTGAGATTTATGAAGATGCTTCATGCTTTTATAAGGTTACTGTAATGCATTTTGAACTTGTGTTTGATTGTGGGACTTCCCTTTTTAATGTAATTTCTCTGCCACACTTTAATCCATATGTTTGAATGTGTATATTTTGTTTACTTCAAAAATAGCATGTGCATTGCAATTTTGCAGATAGCAGACCGAAGCTGGTGGCAGGATCCGCTGAAGGATATTCTGGACATGTTGATGGAAGGCTTAGGGAGGCTAGGATGAATCACCCGAAGGGGATAACAGTTGATAACCGGGGGAATATCTATGTTGCAGATATAATGAATATGGCAATTAGGAAGATTAGTGATTCAGGCAAGCATTGTGTTATACACTGAACACTCATATGTCCTCTCCCCCATGAGGCCCCTGTTCTACTTCTCACATTTGAATCATTGGTGGGAGCTTTTTATCGAGTTAAGGTTTCTATTTTTAGGGGTAACAACAATTGCTGGTGGAAAATGGAGCCGTGGAGGGGGGCATGTTGATGGTCCAAGTGAAGAAGCTAAATTTTCTAATGATTTTGATGTGGTTTATGTCGGAAGTAGTTGTTCTCTACTTGTCATAGACAGGGGGAACCAAGCCATCAGGGAAATCCAACTCCACTTTGATGATTGTGCTTATCAATACGAAAATGGATTTCCACTCGGTAAACTAAATCAATCCATAAGTCCTTCTTTAGAAAATCTTTTAATTGAAAATTAAGATTGATTGTTGTCAATTTGTAGGAATTGCAATGCTTGTTGGGGCTGGCTTCTTTGGCTATATGCTTGCATTATTACAGCGTAGACTTGGTACAATTGCAGCATCTCAAGATGTGCGTGCCTATATTGCCTTCTGCCTTCTGATGCATTATAGCAAATTAGATATAGACATTATAATGTAATCGGTCATAAATAAATATGATTATCCATTGATAGAACTTCAATTAATGTAGATGCAACATATCTGGAATTATTTTGGGAAATACAACTGTTATCAAACTTTCAGTATAAAAAATTTATTACTTCCACAGGTAGCTGCATGACAAGGAAAACTATCATTTTATGTTATGCTATAGTTTTCAAATTATCAATTATTTTACCTCAGCATAATGAATATACTAAAGCCACTGAATTTAAACTCGTGCTTTGTTCTCTAAAGCTGCATCCAAGGTTCATAAAAGTTACCTGAAATTATGAATATTTTAGAAAACTTAAGTCATTCATTCATCTCTTGCTTTTGTAGGCTGAGGGTCCAACAATGTCTGCCGTTTCACCAAGTCCATATCAGAAGCCCTTAAAGTCTGTTAGGTCTCCTTTAATTCCATCCGAAGATGAATCTGATAAGCAAGAAGAAAGTTTCTTTGGGTCCATTGGGAAGCTTCTTGCCAATACTGGGGCATCAGTAGTGGAAATAGTGGGAGGGGTATTTCCTGGTTTAAGAACAAAACCACAGATCTATGAATTTCAAAGCCAACCACTGTTCCAGCAGCCTCAAAAGCAAGTAAATTCTTGGCCTGTGCAAGAAAGTTTTGTGATTCCAGATGAAGACGAGCCCCCTTCTATCGACCTAAGAACCCCGACACCACGAAAAACATACCCTTTCATGTACAAGGATGCAGAAAAAATGCAACAACTATGGCAAAGTCGAGCATTATACAACGGATGGGAGGGAGATCTTCAGCAGCAACAGCAACAACTAAAACATCAGCAGCAGCAACAACAACAACAGTTAAAACATCATCATCGCCATCAGCACCATTCATCAATTCCTCACACTTACTATGAACAAAGCCATGAGCAAACCAATGAGATATTATTTGGAGCAGTGCAAGAGCAGGATGGGAAGCAGGAAACTGTAGTTATCAAGCCTGTGGATTATGGTCAATCTCTCTATGATCATCACTATATTCGGCCTCGAATCAGTTCCATGGGCTATATCCACAAGTACTAAGTATATAGAATCACAGATTATGAGTAATGCATCCCCAATCCAGCTTTAATTAGAAAGGGGAGGGTGAAATCCAGTACAGGAAGTATAATTAATAATTTCTTTTAAACAGTATGATCCTTATAAGGAGAAGCTGGTCAATAGAATGTTAACTGTTCGATCAGTTTTGCCAAATTGTAGGTCACTCTGGCCATATTTGAGGGTAAGATCAACAAATTTTGGCACGCTTTTTCTTCTGGTGAGATCATGTTTAATGTCAAGCAGAAGTTCTCTGCCATAAAATATATGATATATTGTATTGATACTTTCTCTCTTTTCTCTTGTTTCACCGAAAAGTTTTGACCGGCATTGAGTTTTTCCTCTAGAAGTACAAACACCGTTAGATAAATTTACTTTGTACTTTCTTATGTGGGTACCATCTCAATGTTATGAAAATCAGCGTGTAATTCAGCGGTAGGGATTGATCCACGTTTAAGCAAGGTCAGTAGTTCGAATCTTGCCTTATGTATATAGCTGTGTTAAATCTTGAGGCCAGTTATCCCACTTTTTGAAGTGTCTTTCTCATAACGAAGAGATTAATCACCGCTATCGATCCTGGATACTCCAGGAACCCAAAAAAAAAAAAAAAATCTCAATGTTATGATTCTAAACAAGGAAAAACTCTGCCTAGTGGAGCGTGACAGAACTTCTGTTTGATCACTGTTTCAATTGCCATTTTACAGCTATTCCAAATACAAACAATTCCAACAAATTCTCTAAAATATCATCCTGAAGTGACATGTTAAGTTCTTAATGTTATTGGAATTTCTGAATCTAGTTAGATTCACTGACAAAAGGTTCTGAAGATGAGAGAAGTTATTAATAGTGGCAACAAATGAATGGAGAGAATTGAAGGTGGCAATAATAATTGAGAGTAATAATAATGGCAGGTGGAATCTGATAAGGCGAGTGACCACCGGAGTGTGTCAACTCTAAAATTTTCACACAAGTGGATGACGTGACATGTTGGGACCCTCCACTAGCCACTGCATGTGCTTGACATTATGGCATTTGCATTATTAATTTATTTACCAGTTAAATGGTTTGAAAATTATTTCATTTAATTTAATTAGATCCCAATATCAATTATGTTTAAAATTAATTATAAAATTAGCTATTTTTATTGATTAGATATATTTTTCATGAAAAATAATCTTGTTTGAATAAAATAGGACAATCTAAGAGCAACTCCAATGGGAGTTGCTTGTCCCATGAAGCAACTCAAGTCCCGGTTTCTTGCTATTGGAGGATTCTGACGTGGCAACATTAGCTGCTTGAAGAAGAGAGAGAGTTGCTTCCTCAAGCAACCGTTCCTTACCAGATTTCAAGCAGATTTTATTGAACATATTTGAGAACGTTTTGAAAATAATAATGATGAAAATTAATTTCGTATAATGTTTATGTATTTACTATTACTTTATTTTATTTTTAATATCTACTTATTGTGTATTTTTTTCATAATTTATTTTCTTTCATCGTAGTGCAATTATCCTTTTTAATAAAAATTTAAATTTGGTTCATAAATGATTAGAAAAAAAATTCTAAAAGTTAAATTTCTTAAAGTTTCTTACCATTGGAGTAAATTTGTGTTTGAGTTGCTTAAAGCTGACATGGCACACTAGAGACCATTTTTTTTATTTTTTAATGCATGAAGCAACTCAAATGAGTTGCTTGCATTGGAGATGCCCTAAATTCATTTTCAAATTAAAATGAAACATATAGACAAGTATTAAATTAAGTGATATATGTCTAATTTTCATTAAGGTTTTAATTTAAAGATGTTGTAAAAAAATTGTTAAGATTAATTTTGTCGGATTATAGATGTTTCCAATTTGATTAAAGTTTTACTTATACAAGATTCCATCACTTGTGATTTTAACTCCAAATAATTCATATAGAGCATTATTTTGGCTTTTACTTATATATATATATATATATATATATATATATATTTTTTTTTGTTGCTTTGATATTCAAATTGAGTATCATATGTTTTAAGTATTTATTCTTTTTTTTTTCTCACCCGTCAATGATACTCGACACTTGGATATCAAACAAGTTAAGGTACAATAGCAAGTAGTAACCTTCATTAATGTGTTGAGCATTGTATGTTAATATTTATATGTCGTGGTTGACTTTTCTGAAATATATATATATATATATATATATATGTGATAATTTAATTAAATACTTTTCTGAAATATATATATATATATATATATATATATATATATATATATTATTTGGATAATTAGTATACGAAGTAAATACGTGTTTTATATTCTTATTTTGATTATTTTTAGTTTATCTGCCAATATCTACTAATCATTTTTAAAATATATTTTGTAAAATAAGATTAATATTTATAAAAAAATTGTATCTCAAATAATTCAGAATCTAGGACTCCCAGTCTTAAAGACGTTTACCTATCCAACGAATTTTGGAGTACTTGATTTAATAGATTACAAATTATGTTGGATGACTCATTATTTATCCAATAATAAATGATGATTTTTTTTTATAAGCCAAATTATTGAAATTAAAAGGAGTACAAGGGATATTCCAATCTATTACAAAAATATCATACGTAATATATGTACTATGTACCACTGAAAATACGGTTCCAAATTAGGTACTTGAGTTAGTCCATCTAAGAAGCTACTACGTATGAAATATAGAACAATTGTAAATCATCAAATGATCTTTTTAGCAAATTATTCCATATTTGTCTAATATAAGCCTCTAGAATGTAATGGTGTGATTGTGAAGTCTTTTCAATTAAATAAAAGAAAGTAAAAAGTTTAGATTGAGACAATAGTAACACCAAAACCTAAATATAAACATAAATAAGAGCAACCAAAAGCTTGAATAAAAAATAATATTGTCCTTCTGATTCGTAACTTGACAAGGAAAACAGCAACATCAAAATGATGATCTAATTTAGTAAATTCATCCATTGAATAAATTAGTTAAACTTATACATGAATGTATTAAAGAGTTGATGAATAATTGGATTGAGCCCCTTAATATTTCGACTAGAAAGTAAAAATTTCAAATTTGAATTGTTATGACATTATTCATCAACAAGAATCAGTTGGGAGGGGTTAAGTTAAAGCTTAAAAGCATGAAGTAATGTGGATTGGGTCAATACAACCTCCAGATCAGGTTCCAATGCCTTTTCAAGTGGGAAAATATGACACTTTTTCAACACTGTTGATAAAAAAAAAGTGTAGTTTTTTTTTTGGTCAAATTGTATTGGATATAAAGAGATGGGTCTGATTCTAAATTGGGTCAAATTGGCCCATTAGGTACCAACCAGTATATAAACCAGGACCTATCCTGTTAAAACTGGAAAGGAGAGGATCCAAATCCTATAATATATTGTTAATATTTTTCTTAATTACAAGCTAGTTTTTTCCGTTATTTTTCTAATTTAAAATTTTTTAGTTAACATAATTTAAAATTTTCGTTGTGTTAATTTCTGAGTGAACAATCTTGATCGCAAGAGCATATATTTCCATTCACTTTGCTTGTTGACATATAGAGTTGACTTGAATAGGAATGCTTCTAACCTTAATAATGGTTCAAACTAGTTTCATATTAAAGGACAATGTGCGTTTTATTTTCTTTTTCTTTTTCCAAGGAATTTTACAAAAGCCATTAATTAATTTTTATATTGTTATTTCCTTTTGGTATACAAGAGAAAAAGAGAAAAAAAAAGAGAGATAAACAATAATTAAACTCTTAGATAAGGCTTAACAAAAAATTATGCATATGAGGATCAATTTCATTAATCACAATCATATTGTTATTTGACAAAGCATCCAATTTGGTAAAAACTTTTATGTATATATTTTTCTCATGCATATGTGATTAAGAATATATTTTTAATTTCGACAAAACATATCACTAGTACAAAATATGCAAAGATATTGAGGATTTAAAATTGTTTGTAAGACAATTGATATTAAAAGAGATGTAGTTTAATTTTGTATTTATTTATTTTAGTTTAGTTTTGCTTTATAAATTTGCAAGATTATTTTGCAATTGGTTTGGACTTGAGGTTTTTTCACTCTACAAAAACAAGGTTTACGACATGTAAGAATTTACTCATAGGGACAATTCTACCAAAGATGTGCAAAAAAGGGAAGATGTTTGATGTTTGCGTTGCTCACGTGTGAAAGATAGGGTTTGACATTTTTAAACTTTTTAAAATCAATTATATATAGTCAATTTTAAAAGAAACCCTTAAAATCAGTTATAAATAACCAATTTGAAATGTGTCCTCTTACAAAAATAACCAATTTAAAAAATATTTTTTCTATTGGTGTATATTCTTAATCTTCCAAAAATCAATGATACAATAATGTGTGTAAGTAATATTCCTCCTTAAGCATGTCCATGAGTAACTATGAGTCAAAAAAACAATATATCCTTCTAACACCATTATCCCAACAAAATTGAAGTTCATTAAGGAGGGGAAAAATCTCCATGTAAAGATATCTTATAAAAATATCTTATACTTTTAAATTTATAAAGTTGTAGTAAAATGATATGAATAATTGTGAATAGATTCTTACAGTGAATTTTTTCTTTCTTTTGAGTTTGCAATGATAAAATTTTATAAGGTTCAATTTATACCTTTTGATTCGTGGGTGAATGTATAATTGTGAGATTTAAAAAAATTATTCTTATATAGTTGATTTTTTTATTTATTAAAATTACAATTATAATGTTAGAGTTCAACTTCAAAATTTTGTATATATTACCTCAATTTTCTTACTACTATGTCAACCCACTCATGTAGTTGATGTTAAGCATCATTTGAGTTTTTATTTATTTATTTATTTATTTGCATACTATTTTTTTTATCTATTCAAAAAATAAAATTGATTTTTTTTATAGACCAATGCACTCATTCGTGACTCTAACAAAGTCTTCTTCAACACAATTAAATTAAATACTCAAGTGGCATCTTATTTTCAGAAGGTGCGAACTGAGGAACAATTTTATTTTTTTATTTAACTTTCACTAAAAACAGCGTAAATTTACAAAACTGTCCCTAATTGGCATTTTCAATTAATTTTTCATCTCAGAAAATTGAGAGAGAAACGTTAAAATTGTAAAATGGTTGCAAAGTAGAAGAAAGAAAGGGTGCGGTGGTGTTGAGTTGTTTTGTTTCCTCTGAAAAATTCACAGAATTCGCACACACAACGCAACGCAAAAACTCGCTTCGTATCAGATCCGAATCTCTCTTCGTCTCGCCGATT